ATATTTTAAGTAGGTAGAACATATGTATATTAAACATAGAAAGGTATGGAAGGACTAAGAGATACTTAATAATATTCATAAGGCGCTAACTATACCCAAGACATCTGGGCAATAAATATTCATGACACAATAAATGCTGAAAAAGTACTAAATATTCATGATATATTCATATGCATGAGACTAAACATACAAGAAAAACTTAGTATCTGTCGTAATTCAATTACTCATTGGTGACACCCATTCTTGTCCTCTAATCCATGGCTGTTAATCAATCTGGCAAGCCAGATGGGGCAGGGGAGCATTGTCCCTACATATCTCCCATAGAACTGAGGTGTGTGTGTGGTGCATGTGTGTGTGTTTGCTGGATGGTAGTGTGTGTGTCACTGGTCCAGGGCACCTCCCATTCACAGGCCAACTATTAGTACTTCAGCTCTGGTCCTTGTGCATACTGATCGGAAGAGAAAATTAGTGCAGCAGAGAGGAATGGAATTCATGAATGCTGTGCACCCAGGACTCGGGCGCTGCCTACCTGCCCCCATGACCTGTGTTACCTTCCTGTCTCCTTTCCCTTGCTTTACCTTATGTGTTTTAAGTTGCATCAAGGTCAATTCCTATAAAATATCTACCACTAACTGCTCAGGAGCACTCTGTATGACAGATTTGTTGATTTTCCTTAAAAGTCATCAGATCTCAAATACAAAAGGGTCCTTTATTGCTTCAGGGTATTTTACTAGGTGTTCCACATTGGGAATTATAATAAATTACCTTTTACTTGTAAAAAAGACATAGAAAAGTAATAGATACAAATAATTTATGAACCATCTTCTCTGTTGATAGAGTATCTCTAATGATGTGTGTGTACACATACACACACACACACACACACACACACACACACACCCTAATGCTTTTGTTACCTTCTGTGGACAAGAGCATTTGGTGACAAAAACTATGGAGAGATTGCTGCATGGATTCAGAGGTGAGGACAAGTATTCTGGTAGTTCTCAAACTTCATACATTTAAAACCAGCCACAAACACCAGGGACAGTAGGAGGTTTAGGCAAATAAACAACTTTCTACTCCTTACCTTTCAAGAGGCCTTTTATAATTCTTTCAACAAATACCTTAATCATAAGAAAAGTACTTGAGTGGCCTTTCTATCAAGAATCTGCATAGGAACAGCACAAGTATCTGCACAGAGTTAGTGGCTGACACCAGTAAGGGAGGCCCCTGGTTGCATGGCAATGCCTGTCCCATCATTTCTTACCAATTCACTGCTAAATTCACCACTCACATGGCCTCTCTGCTTCATGACCCACTGAGCTCAGGATTATAGGATATAGAAATTAAAAGTGATACAGAGAATTCTGAGGTAATTTCTTACAACACAAACATGTCTGAAGGACCATGACCTACAAGTTTGAAATGATTTTCCAGATGCAGACATCTAAGAATAACAGGAATAGATGAAAACTCCTAATTTCCTTTCATCTGGGAAAAACACAAGGTACTTATAGCAGTGATCACTGTTGTAGCAGTGATCATCCTACCTACAGATGACACTAATCATATCGGGTTGTCAGGTAGGTAGACAATCAAAGGGAAAAAGCATGACATCAGGGTCAAACCATCGGTTGGACCTGAAAGGTCATTCCTGCGCAGGTCTTTCTGCCTCTGAATACAAGGGCTCTTCTCATGGGACATTTTCTTTCATCTCAAATGCATGTGGTTAAAGTTAATGCTACTTGAAGTTCACCTCCTTCAAGAAGCCTTCCCTGACCACTTCACCTTCCACCCACTGAGTGTGAGCAAAATCCAGGGCTTGGATGTGCAACTTTAGGCTTTATAAGGACTAATCTTACTCTCCAAATTATTTCTAAGCACCCTCAAGAAACAGATAGGACTAGGGTTTTTCTCTATTTCTTCTCCTGCTTTGAGTAAATGCCCAGCACACAGAGGATCATTTTGATAATAAAAAAGAAACAGCATAAATAGGGATAATCATTTGGAAGATATTAATCCACAAGAAACTATTTATAAGGCTGGGCTTGGTCAAGTACAGGCAAAAAGCCAATTTCTTCCTCCCCCCTCACCACCCCCAGCCTCAACCCCAACACCTCAAAGCTGATCTTTCCCCTATATCCTCCCAGCCCCTGACTGATATCTCCAACATGTCCCACAGCTTTTTCAGGTGATAAAGCACTCAGTGAATAATCCATATCGATCTGTCCAGAAAGATGGAAATGGGGGAGAAAAGGGAACGCCTTATCTATTTTCTCAGCTTGTTCCTCCCTGCCTCGTTTCCACCTCACCAGGATGCATCTGGTTTCTCCAGGGATAGGGGGGTTAATAAAAGCTGTTTAAATTCTCTTTACATCTCAAGAGCAAAGCAAAGGAAGTTTGAGCCTACAGCCTGACTCTAAGCCACAATATACAGAGGACAGAAAATATGTCCTATAACAAATGCCTGCTCCAAAGGTAGAAAAGAAGCTCTCGTGGTGCTGAGAGGAAGGAACCTGGAGGGACCAAGTGCCCTGTGTTGTGCACTTTTGCACCTAGAGTAGGAGGAGTGGTAAGGAAAGAAAAACACTGAACCGTTGAGGGGGATGTGGAAGCATAAGGAGTTTGTGTCCTGCTTCCTGCTGGGACAGCTCAGTATAGTAGAAACAGTGCTGAGCACAGTCCTGCACAAGCCGGGCAGGTTCTCAAGTGCCAGTAAGGTCCTAGGAGAGACCTCAGAGTGTGGGGACTTCCAGCCAGATGTGGACTCAGGACCCCAGCTGTGGCTCACTGCAGTGACACAGGCTGAACCTTACTCACTGAAGATAGGAGCAGGAGGCTCAGTGTGGTGGTGGTGAGCTCATCAGAGGACAGCAAGAGGCCCGGATGACCAGCAAGAGGCCACTCTCTCCCACACCCTAATGTGATAGCAACCTTCTCTTGGCACTCAGATTGCACCTGCATCAAGAAGGGCCCCCCCAAGGGTGACCTCAGAGATGAAGAGACTGACTCTCCAAGGAATAAGCTGTTTCAAGCTAGCTAGAGAGTGTCTCTTGTTTTAGACTCCAGAAAGCGATGAGCAGGACAAAATATACTAAAAAAGAAACAAAGCTCATTTTATTTGGAAATGCAAAATTAAATACACTTATGAAAAATTTTGCCCACGAAAACATGTCACTGACATACTTCACCTCTCCACAAGAAGCCCAGAGCAGGAAACATCTCTACTCTGATTCAAATATGTCCTTGAGATCTTTGTGCCACACAGGCAGAATTTATGAGTGTCTGTGAATGACAAGGCACAACACTAACCTCCAGAGGAAAAGCAAGTGGGTGTAAGTTTGCCAGGTCAAGTCCAGGTTCACAAAGCCATCAAAGAAAACTTACCCCTAGAGGAGTCTGGGGCCTTCTCTCATGGCACCCTCATGGTTCCCTGTGAGCTGGACTCCCATCTTGATAAGTGACAAACAGGCTCAGCAAGATTAGGTGACTAGGTCAAGATGACCAAGCTAGGTGGCAATAAGATAAGGACAGTCACCCTTTGGTGTATCCCCCAGTGCCTGGACCTACACAGCAGTCAGATGCTGCGCATTAGCTGGGCAACATTCATGGATGAACCACCTTTTTTTTGCTTTATAAATGAAGAAACTGATGTTCAGAGAAGTCAAAAAACTTGACTCACAGAGCAAGCCAAGAATTAAGGTGAAGCAAGTGGGGCTTTCCACTCAGGCATACCTTTAAAGAGAATCCCAAAAATCTCCCTAAGATAAATGTTTTAATGCAGTCTTTTAAAGCATCAAAATAAATACAAAAACCCACACTGTATACAAAAATCACAATTTTAAATAAAGACAGGATCAATATTACTGATTTTTTTGCTTCAGGCTTGAATACAGCTCAGCACAGCACAACACTGGGGCAGAGCAAGAAAACCAGCCCAGCTCAACCCTTCCTGCCCTGGACCCAAAGACCCTAGATGTCACTGCCTGGCACTGCACTGTCTCTGGATGCATTCCTCCTCACAATTTTATAACCTCAAAGGGCTCCTTAAAGTAACTGAGATGCTCCATCCTCCCAGGTTTAAGCTGGGTGACTGAGCTCCAGGGAGAATTGCAGGGGTCTAAATAGATTCTATTCCATAATCATGCACATGTGTTATGTAAATAAAGGGCACTTGTGGACTCCAATATGGAGGTTACCTTAAGATCTCAGCCAGGGAAGGTGTGGCTTGGTCCCTAAATTAGGGATCAGTTGCTTGCCTCCCATTTGATGGATTTCCTGGCTCAAAATTGAGCGTTCAGCAGTGACAGGATGCCGGCTGTTGGCCTGTATCTACACAAGTCAAATTCATCCAGAGGCATTCCTTTTTACTTGCCTTTCAAAGGCCAGTTAGCTTATCTGAGCATTTCCCCTTGATCACTCGTTAACCTCCTATTAATGTCATGTGAAGCATTTGTTCAATAAATACTTGTGATTAAAAATGTGACTATTTCTTGGATCAAACCCAGAGTTCCTTACTGGTGGTTTGGAAGAAAAACCTGAAACCCGCTTAAACCATTACCTGAGCCATAAGGAAGACAGTAAATTTTCTCCTGCAATGGCCTTCAGAGACAGCAGACCCAAACACTGCATGCACTGAAAATTTAAACCCAGCAACCCGTCTCCCCTCCTACTTTTTGTAAACGCATTAAATTGCTAAGCTGTGCCTCACAATTCAAAGTTAAGTCCAGCAAAGTGAGCAAACTTTGGGCACTTGCGTGAGCGTGTCTGGCTCCTCAGTCCCTTGGCCCAGACGCAACCCAAAGAGGCGGCCGCAGAACGGCGCCCCCTACCCGGTCCGAGGCGCACCTGGCCGCGCGGGCGCTGCCCTCACCGCCCTCACACCCGGCCCACCTGTGCAGTCGTGTCTCGGGTCCGCGTCCTCCCCCTCCCCCCGTGAGGTCCCCCCACACCCTCCCGCCACTGGTCTTCCGCCCACGCCCGCCTCGCGGCCAACCCACCTCAAACCGTGCCCGGTACCTGGCACCGGAGCGCGGCCCCGACTCGGGAGAGACGCTCAAGAAGGGAAGCTTCCGAGGGAGCGCGGCGACGAGGGCTGCCCCCTCCCGGGTGCGCGCCCAGCGGCCCGCGCCCCAAACCGCTCAGGCGCCCGCGCGGAAGCGCTGCGGGCGGGGGCGCGACGCAGCAGGTGGCCGCCCGGCCGGGCCCGCTCCGGGGTCGGTGACCCGAGGCCGGGACGCAGGCGCGGGCACGACTCTCCCGCCGCCGGCCTCCGCTCAGCCGCGGCGCGTTCTCCCAGCCCTGGCACGCCGGCTCGGCTCGGCTCGGCTCGGTTCGGCGGGGGCGGACGCCGCGCCGCTCCGCTCCGCTCGGCTCGCCTCGCCCCGCCGGCCGACGCCGCGCGCACCTCCCCCGCGGCGCTCCGCTCCCGCCACGGCCCCGGCCCTCCGGGCGGAGTCGGCTCCGAGCGCCAGTGGGGGAAGACGGCGGCCGGCCGCGGGAGGGCGGCTGGGGTGCTGCCCCCGCACGCCTGGTGGGGACCCCTCCCTCCGCGGCCCCGCCTCAGCCCGCCCGCGCGGCGGCGCTGTGGGGTTCCGGGCCTCGCCACCCCCACCTTGAGGGAGCTGGGTCCACCCGGGCACCCAGGCTGCGTGCCCGCTCCGGCGCACCTGCGCGCCCTGCCGGGACCCCGGTCCACCCCAACCTCCCTGTCACCTGGGGGCTTCGTGTCCGGGTCCACCTCAGAGAGCCGGCGGCCGGTGGCCCCAGGGCCGGAGCGAGTGGGCGCCGTGGGTGGCAAGTGCGTATTTGAAGAAAAGTAAAAGTTTTTTTTTTCTTTTTTTTTTCTTTTTTTTTTTTATAACCATGTGGGTCCGGAGCGTCTCCAGGCTAATTAGGGAAGCTGCCGCCCTGTCTTGAGGTGAATCATTGTTGTGACACTTCAAGTGTGGGAAGAAAGGCTGCTGATGACTTCTCAGTCTCGCTGGCTCCCCCCAAACCCCCCCTTTTTTTTTCTTTTAAAGACGGGCTGATCCTTTTAAGGAGACCATCTTAGGAAATGCGCTGGCCTCAGATGGTGGCTCAGCTAATCAACTAGAAAATGCGCACTGAGGCCTTGCTCAGGCGCTGATTGCATAGCCCAGGACGCCGGCACCCCAAACATGTGCCCCCCAAGAGTAGGGAGCTTTTCTCGCAGGCAGCAAAGATGAACGTGACCTGTGTTCCTGCAGGGAACCGAGGCCATGACAGTTTATATCCAAGAAACTCTCATGTCCCAGCTAGAAGATGACAGTGTTGACGTCAGTGAGGCTCCAATTTTTCCCAACGTCTGAATCTTATCAGCGATATTGGCGCGGCTGTGTGTGGACCACCCTGGGGAGCTGGATGGGATGTTTTCCATGCGACATTGAGGGCCCGAGTTTATGTTTGCTCAACCACCCACAGCAGAGCCCTGGAAAGGGCTTTCTGCAATCTCTGACTTTAAAACGGATCAAAACCCAGTGGAAGAATAGAAAGCAGGGAAAGGAGGCTAAAGATAGATTCCATTTACTTGAGCACGTAAAATAAGTTTCAACATTTTCTGACATAATCCCTTTGGCATAAGCTATTCGGTTAAAAGCCCTTTTTGAGGGTTATGTGCTTTAAATTCCCTGTATGAGAGGAACAAAAATGTATTGTGACTCTGTCTGCAGGACCCTCTGCCTCGGGTCAATATCCTGCATGCACGATGGACAGGTGACTCAAGACAATCAGAGACAATGACTACATTAGGTGTGTTTGCTTTCTTCAAAATCCTCCCACAAACTAAAATGAATGAGAATCAAGGCAACACACCTTTCTCTTCTCTCCTGCCTTGAGCCTCTGCTCCTTGCTATTCAAAAATCACATCTTTTTTTTGTTGTAGCTGCTGTCACTCCTAAATGTTTGACTCCATAAATCGCCATTCTACCTAAGAATTGAATTTGTTGCCAGAATGACTTAAGTCTCTGCCTTTATTTGTGTGTTCTGTGGGTGGCTTTTGAAGTTCCCGGAGGTTTTGAGAGGACAAAAACCGTAGTTCTTGGTGATTAGCTAAAGCTAATGGTGAGAAAGAACATGGTGTCAACACCCAAAATAGAAAGTGGTAGGAATTTTGTGAATAGGTTAGGAAAATGGGAAATTATCTGGAGCCTGGAGGGCAAGCTACATGCTTTAAAAATGTTTAAAGAAAGACTAGCCCTTCCTCAGCCAGTGGCTTCTACCTTCCTGCCAAAACCTGGTTCCCAGGGCCTTGCCATTTGCCTTTAAGGGCATCCTCTCCCTTGTTAATGCCTCTTGCACAAACCTTGAAGCTGGGTTGAGAAAAGGCTGAAATGCTCAAGGAAGGATTTGACACCAGGGAAGCATAAACCCCACAGAGTTTCTTGAGTCTTGGACAGAACAACTGTAAAGCTAAGAACATGGGGTTGGCTGTTGCCTAGAACTACTTCTCAACTATACCTAAACAGCCCCCTTCAGGGAAGGAGAACCTCACTGTTAAGGCTAAAGAAAAAAGATTATACTACTTCTGAATATGTTGCCCCTCATCTGGAAATACATTTTTATCAAATGCCAGGCACTTTTCTAAGCTACTTACAGTGTGCTGCTCACTTGACTCATTCAGTCCCCAGCAAAATACTGACTTAAGACCTACCATTACCCCTGTTTTACAGATGAGGTATTGCTATTACCTCTGTGTTGTGGGTAGAGAGTGCAAGTGTGAAAAAGGGCAAGTTATATGCCCATGATCAGGCAGGAAGTAGGTGGCAGAGTCTGGATTTGAACCCATGATCTGTGCTCTCCACACTGAACAGGCTGCCTTTCTAAAAATGGCATCTACTCCTGCAAACGGAAACTCCTTTTCAGTTTAGAAAACAAAGCAGAATCAGTTCTTCCCCGACTTAGGAAGAGATATCTTTTGGAATATCAGAAAGCGAGAATATTTAAACTTTTGTTCACATTTTAAAATATTTCTAGTCACTTCTTCACTTAATTATTCCCAACAAATCATAATCATCAATAATAAACCTTAACCAGAAATCTGTTTGCAGCCTTCTCAATCTTCATTTAGTAAAACCAGAAAGCTACCATTATTGGGGTGAAGAGGATTTTGCCAAAGGCAACAGGTTTCTAACCACTGTGGTATCCGAGAGATTGGATTCTGCAGGTCACTTTATCCAAGAATTCTGCTTCTGGGTCTTCCTTAGATACTCAATCTACCTGTCCTCCCTTGGGTTCAGAAAATCAGACTCCATAGACACAGGCATCCCTACCTGGATAGAGGATTGGAGCTAAGGCCCATCCAGGAACTGACCAGGAAAATAGGATGTTATTCTTCTCATGACAACAAGTCTGTTGCTCAAGTGGGCCTTAGTGACAGAGGTCAAATTGAGTTGTCTCACCGCCAAAGTCCGTAAGAACCTTACTCCTGAGGGCCTCTCTCCATGGGCTGGCTATCCAGCAGAATCCAGATCCCGACCACTGTCCTTCCTGTCCTCCTCCAGTGATATGAATGACTATGTCATTTCCCACTTTCAAAATCTTTCTCTGGCCTTCATGCACTTAGGATAAAATCCAGCCCCCCTAACAGGGCCTGACCTACTCCCTGTCCAGCTCTTGGGCTCCTTTCAGTACCACTATCAGCTCACTCCGCTCTAGCCAAGCCAGCCTTCTCCCAGTTCCTATGCACCCAACTTCTTTTCCTGCCTTGGGGCCTTAGCCAGAGCAGCCCCTTCCCCTTGGAAAGCTATGCCCCAGCCCTTCAACTTACCCCCACCCTTCAGATGGCTAATTCTTCTCATCCTTCAGGTTTTAATTTAAATATCACTTCCTTTGGTCTTTTCTCCTGATCTCTATTTCCCACCGGCACCTATTCTTTTCCTCAGAATCTATAACATATCTTATAATGGTCAATCTTTAGTTTCACACTGAATCCCCACACCAGAGTACAACTCCAAGAGCCTGTATCTGTTTTGTGCATTTCTGTTGCACATCTAATACCTAGTGCAGTGATAGTAGCTGCTAGAAAAATATTTATTAATTAGTGAATTACCACTTTGACCTGTTCTGACCTTGAATTGCTCTCCCACAAATATATGAATCTGCAGTTCCTTGTCATTCTGCTTTTGCTCCTTGTTTCCCAAAATTCTGTTCTTTGACTGCTCTCTTGTCTCAAGAGACAACCTTCCCCACCTTCCAGCTACAGCCCTGATCCTCATGGTCATCACCCCAATTGCTCTCTTACAGGCACCCCTATTGCTCTCATCTCTTAGTCCTCCTGCTATATCTTCTTGTTTGAAACCCCAACCCCACATCATCCTTCTCTAGCCTACAGCTATGCTGCCAAAGAAAATCACAGATCTGTGCAGACCAAAACCACAAAAATCTGTCTACTCAAAGCTTCACTTTGGCTTTAATTCCCTTTGATATCCTCTGAAAAGCAAATTGGACAGTATGTAAAATAAGAAGTTATGATAAGCAATCTCAGAGGAATCACAGTTGCCATTTTTATTGTATTTCTTTCCAGTTTTTTTAAAGCATTCTGCAAACTCAAATGTCCTCTAATTAGCTGAGATTAAGCCAAATGCACAATTTTATGTCCTGATTTTTTTTTCATTATAACACAAGTATCTACCCATGTGACAACCAATTCTCTACAAAGACAAATTTTAATAATTGGCTAATAGTCCATTGTGTGGATATATCATACTTAGTTTTACTCTACTGCAGTGCTTTTGATTTGAAGGTATTATACAATTTTCTTTGACAAATATCTGTGTACATAATTTGTTTATATGTATAATTATATACTTAGGAGAGACCCAGAAGAGGAATTCCTGAATCAATGACTATGAATGGGCCAATGGCTATAAATCTCTAGGTTAGGGTTTAAATGACATACCTGGATGTGATATTTTCATTTGTCCCTGGACAGTTTCTTCTCCCCACAATAATGAGACCTAACTGCTCTCATGCACTGTACATTTTTGGTCCCTAGCCTATTCTTCTGAAAAGATGATTTTGTTTGCTGCATCAGAGAAGATTAAAGTTATCAGGAATGAACCCCCTTAAAGCCCCTCGCCCCTCCCTAGTCCACAACATT